AAGGATCTCCTACATAGATCCCCTTCCAGGTGGATGACAGTGCCGGGCACCATCTAGTTCTTCTGGTCTCATAGTTGTATAGGTTGCAGATTGCATGGTGTACCAGTCGGTAGGACTAATTGTTTCCATTAATTTTGGTTTTCTTCTTTCTTCTTTGCTCTTGATGAAGAGAGATCCATCGAGCAACAACAGTCTTGTTGGGAACAGTTTAGGGAGTAATTTTGAACAGGGACCTTTTCAATAGCAGTTGAGTCTTTAACCATTACACCATCAGGACTCCTTTCTTATCTGTAAAGGGAAATAATATGCTTAGTTCATAAGCATATTAGTTGTATGGAGGATTAAATAAGGTAATGCATGTAAAGGACTTCATAAATGCTGAATAACATCAACCAACATTTCTTGAAAACTTCTGTGTACCCACCACAATGTTATGCATGCTTTACATGCATTTTCTCGTTTAATCCTACAACAACTTCAGAAGAAGGTGGGACACAAAATGTAAAATAATTTACCAAAGGTCACACAGTAGTGAACAGAGTTAGCGTTTGAATCAACATCAGCCTCATTTCTTAGTTTTTATCTACTAGAAAAAGTTTGTACCAGCCATGTTACAATTTTTATTTTATAACATAGTGTTATTATTAGTTCTTTTATTTTCAAAATTTTAGTGTCCTTGATGATCACTTTCTCAGTCAGACATTAATGTAGTGATAACCAAATGTTGTAGATGACATGCTTCATTTCATAAATGAAATCCACTTGTAAACTCAGAACATTGTAGATATGTTTTTAGTTGCCTTCCTAAGGTATTTTTCCTTCTTCATAGAGTACTTGTGCAACAAGGCAGTATTCCCTAAGGGATGCTATTATTTTGGTTGCTTGCCATTGAAAAATTTATTGAAGCCAGTTGTGACATGTTATTGGTAAAAGAAATAAAGGAAATAAAACAGTTGCATGGCTGATACAAGAATTTGTACCTTCTTATCTGAAAAGAGATCCTTAGGTAGGTATCTATACTGAAAATAAAGTTTTTTAAAAAACATTTTTCTTTCAGTCAATTTTAAGTAGGGAAATATCGCCTTTTATTTTTCTTCCAGACCTAAGGCTTCACTAAAACTGTGGGTCTAGAACTTGGCTTTCACATGAAGTCTCCCTAAGAGATCTCAGCCTCAGGCCTAGATATGTCCTTGGCCAAATGACTGAGCAGAGTCATTCTAGGTCCTGTGGAATCTCTACCCATATTAGGATGCCTTAAATGCATGCCATTATTTATTTTGGATTTTCAAACTGATTTCTCAAATATATTTGGAAATGGTAGTGGTCCAGGATGTTTCAAAATAGATTCTCTTAGAATCCCAACCCTGAAAGGCTCGTCTATCTCAGTCTTAAGGTTTATACCACCTGATTATTTGGATCCAGGGATGACAGTTAGGGATGACCTCCTACTGAGCTGATAGCTGCATGTTGTTTATTGTTCAGTGTACTCAGCTGTAGTGGGTCCTGTTTGATGGTATCAGAAAATTAGATGTGTTCTTGAATTTAATTTCAAGCAGAAAACATTTTTAAACATCTGTCATGAAAGTCATTTATGCTGGGTGCTGGAGGAGATGTAGATACATAAACACATCTTTTTATATATGAGGGAATACGAAAAATGATGTAATACAGATAAAAGCCAAGTGACGTGGGAGTATACAGATGGGAAGAAAGATAAAGATTTTCATTATGGTTTCTTACAAAAGAAAAAAGTATTTTGGGCTTTACATTGTAATCAATGAATAGTTTTAGAATAATGAAAAGTTTTGTGGTAGAATTGTTGTTGTTGTTGTTGTTATGTGCCGTGGAGTCGGCCCCGACTCATAGCGACCCATCCTTGGGTTTCCGAGGCAGTATCACTACGGAAGTAGGATTGCCCAACCTTCCTTCCGAGGAGGGGCTGGTGGTAGAATTAAAACCCTAAAAATAAAATATATCATTTCTAATTTTTAAACAAATTTTTATTGTGATGAAATAAACACAACAAAACATCCACCAGTTCAACAATTACTATATGTATAATTCAGTGTTGGGTCTGGTTTAACAGAGTATGTGAGCTAGAGAAAACATGAACTTTTCATAATTCTGTTTCCCCTGTTGTTTATTTAGAAAAAAGTGGAGCCCTTTGCCAGTGTTCTTAGTCTTCCATATCCATTCACTTCAGAAATCAATAAAGTTGCTGTATTCACAGAGGTGAGTAAACTTTGTCAACTTTGAATATTCTCTTCTTTGGTTTTTAAACTATCACATTAATCAGTAATTAACACAAAATACCCCAAACCACTGCCATCGAGTTGATTACAACTCATAGTGACCCCCATTGGGTTTCCAACGCAGTAAATCTTTGCAGAAGTAGATTGCCCCATTTTCCTCCCGTGGAGCAGATGATGGGTTTGAACCACCAGCCTTATGGTTAGCAGTTAAATAAATACCTTAGGCACTGTGCTGCCAGTGCTCCTTAATCAATAATTAGGATAACTGAATAAATAGAATTAAAGAAAAGCTTAGCTAAACTAGTTTTATCATTAGTCTACCATGTTTCTCAGAAGAAACTGAAGAGAAGTATAGAATTTTTCCTAATAGCGCTTGTTACTTACGCTTTTCCTTAAAGAACTAAAATGATAAAAAAAAAAAAAAAAAA